TTACCAATACTCGCATTGGGATTCGCTTTCTTATTCTCTTTCCTTCATAAGCAATTGCAGAGGAATCGTTTCTTTTCGTGAGACCATTGCCTGCCTTAGTAAGTGCTCATGAATGCGATACTACTATAATGTATTAAAAAAATTTCAAGTCAGGATCGAAAACAATCAAGATCGATTCGAAAAATATTTTCTTCTTTTTATTTTCTCTTTCATAAGCACATCAATAATAACTTCATACACAAACTCCATACTGACTTTGACATTCGATCTCTATTTCGTATGAGCAAGAAGCCACACTCAATAATGTTACGGATCACGGATCTCTGAAAAAGATAGAAACCATTAAAGCAAAAGGTATAATAATAATGTTACAGGTTTTGACATTTGCCTATAACTAAGTAGAATAGGTATGATTATAGATGGATCGGGTCTCCATCGGGATGGGTAGGTTTGATTTGGTGCGATGGATAGGGAGAGAAAATGGTTGATTCGGTCGGTTTTAGTCATTTTTTATTAGCAGAAATAAACTGAGTTAGAAACAAAACCAAACCGAGCTGAATTTTTTGGTTTAGTTCTTTCGGTTCTTATAGGCCCACCAGCAAGTAGCAACATGAGGATGCAACCAATCAATAATGGAGGTAGAGGTTCATTGAGTTTGATTAAAACTAGAAGAATACCAGAGAAAAAAATAGGTTGAGAGATTGTAATTTGATAATACCGTACTCATGATTTGTGAGTTATCGTTATTCATTATGACAACTTTTACTGTGTTGAAAATAAAAAATTGGTTGATTGGTGGGTGCATTGGTGGGGCCTGTTGAAAGTGATAGAAGAATACTGGGTGCATTTTAAGAGTCATCGGTTGGTTCGGTGTATACGGACATAAGAATTTTTACACCAAGAATCAAAATGAATACAGACACCAAATTGATCTGCCCAATGTCGGGCAGTTCGATTGGTTTGTTTGGCTCAAACCGAATATGTTCAGTCCTTGCGATGGAACAAAAATGGACTAAAATCTTGGTTTATACTCCTATGTAAATCGCGAGTTTTAAAGAGAAACCTAATTGCCATTGGATCAAGACGGGTGAAAATTAAAAAAAATCGTGGTTAGCGAACAATTAATGCAAATTTTTAGGTACGCTAAACAATTTTCATTAGGTGGGTAAAAAGGAAAATGGATAAAAAGTAATGGGTTATAGTCCATGTAAATTGCGAGTTTTGAAGCAAAAAGTCTTAATTGCCGTTGGATCAAAACGGTCAAAAAATGACAAAAATTATGGGTTATATAGCCTATAAAAATTTGAAGTGCGCTAAATAATTCCCATTAGGTCTAAGCTAACTTTACAGAAAGTGCTAGCGGCATAGGCATTTTGTTATTTTATTAGTATTTAATTAAAATAGTTGACCAAAAGTAACCAAACTAGTAAATACTAAGAAATCTCAACATGTCCAATATAATCAGCCATGCATAGATAGCTGAAATAGTAAATACTACGAATTACGAAACACCAACATGTCTAACATAATATGTCACTGTCAAAAGTAAATAATATCCCTAAATTTAGAAGTCTAATGCTCAAGAAGAAGAAAAAACACAAGAAGTCTAAATGTTCGGAGGTGGAGGAGGGTTGCTAGGGTTTTGAGGAGAAAGCTAGAGTTTTAAGATGGAGAGTTAGCGAAGCTTGGAGGAGATGAAGCGCCGTGGAGATGGAGTGTCAGTGGAGAGCTTTATAGATTAGGGTATTTGTGACTTGGGTTCAAAGAGCGGTCAAAGGGAGATGAGTGTCACGAGAGAGATTTAGAGATTATGGTTTTTTTAGGTTTATAGTTGAGTTAGTGGGTCAGGTTTAATTGCGAGTCTGTTTAAGCGATTTAGGCTTTTTTGGTGGATTTTTAATTCTAGATTTGGCCTAGTTTAGCCCAAAAAAAGTTAATTTTTTAATAGAAGTAAAGCAGGCCATGTAGCCTTATGCGGCTTCTAGGCGTTGCCTAGGCAATCCCGAGTGTCGACGCTTAGGCCACTCCGACCTTTTTTTGGCGGTAATATGACTGCTTATGCCTAAGTTTCTGCCTAGGTCAATTTTTACAACACTAGTCAAAACAAGTTAAATGACTAAAATTGCGGTTATACTCTATGAAAGTTGCGAGTTTGTCATTAGATCATTACGAACGAAAATTGAAAATAAATTGTGTTATAGCTCGTGAAAATTATAAATTTTAAAGTACCTCAAATAATTTCCATTAGGTGGAAACGAATAAAAAAGGACAAAAATCGTGGATTATATACTCCATGAAATTGTGAGTTTTGAAGCAAAAAAGCTTAATTGCGACTGGGTCCAAATGGACTAATAATAACAAAGTTTGTGGGTTATTGTCCATAAAAATTACAAATTTTGAATCACACAAAATAATTTCTATCAAGTAAAAACTAATTAAAAATAGACAAATTGTGAGCTATAGCCCATTAATTGTGATTTTTGAAGAAAAAACTTAATTGGCATTGGGTCCAAACTGATGGAAATTGAAAAAAAAATAGTGGGTTGTAGACCATTAATAGTGAATTTTAAAGTATGCCAAACAATTTTCACTCAGTGGAAACAAATGAAAATGGACGAAATTCATGGTTTATAGTCCATGAAAATTGAGAGTTTTGAAGAAAAAATTAACTATCATCGGGTTGAATTAGACGAAAAATGATAAACATCATTGATCATAAAAATTGCAAATTTGAAAATACACCACATAATTCCTTTTAGGTTGAAAAAGTAAAAATAAATTAAAATCGTAGGTTATACTTTATGTATGTTGCGGGTTTTGAAGAAAAAAACTTAATTGTCATTGGATCATAATGGATGAAAATTGAAAAAAATCGTGGGCTATAGCCTATAAATACAATGAATTTTAATGCACGACAAATTATTTTTATTTGGTGGAAACAGACATAAATGAACAAAAATCGTGAGTATATAATCCATGAAAAATATGAGGTTTAAAGAAATAAAACTTAATTGACAGTACAGCAAAATGGAAAAAAATAAAAATAATTATAGGTAGACTGAAAATTGTAAATTTTAAAGTTGGCTACTCTGTAAATTGCGAGTTTTGAAAAGGAAAATGTAACCATCATTAGGTCTAAATAGATGAAATTTTTAAAAAATCGTGGGTTAGTCTACAAAAGTTATGAATTTTAAAGTACACCAAATAATTTTCATAAGGTAGGAAAAAATAAAAGTGGTCAAAATTATAGGTTATATACTTATAGCTCATGACAATTACAAGTCTTGAAGCAACTTAATGCCAGTGGGTTGAAATTGACAAAAAATAACAGACATTGGAGGCTATAAGCTAATGCTATGATTTTTTCCGTTTTCATTTATTTCCGCCTAACCAAAACTATTTGGCGCACTTCAAAATTCACAATTTCATGTACTATTACCCTCGATTTGTTTTTTTTAACTTTCGACAGTGTGGACCGATGAGAATATTTTCTTTAGAAAATTGCAACTTTCATGGACTATATTCTATATTTTTCAGTCCATTTTTATTGTTTTGACTGAAATTATTTAGTGTACTTCAAAATTTATACTTTTCATTGGCTATAGTCCATGAAAATGTAGTTGCCAATGCGTCGAAATGGACGAAAAATGACAAAAAGTATGGGTTATAGCCCTTGAAAACTGTAAATTTTAAAGCACGCCAAATAATTTTCAATAGGTTGAAACAAGCAAAATTGGGCTTAAATCTTGGGTTATACTTTATGAAAGTCGCAAATGTTGAAGGAAAAAACTTAATTGTAACTGGGTTATAATGGATGAAAATCGAAAATATTTGTGGGTTATATGGCCTATAAAATATGCGAATTTTAAACTACGCCAAATTATTTCCATTAAGTGTAAATAAACAAAAGCAGACAAAAATCGTGGGTTATATTCCATGAAAATTACGAGTTTTGCAGCACAAAAAACTTAATATCCATTCGGTCGAAATGGATGAAAAATAACAAAAACCATGGTGAAAATTGCAAATTTTGAAGTGCACCAAATAATTTTCATTAGGTAAAAATTAGCAAAAATGGACTGAAATTCATGGGTTATAGCCATCTTTAAATGTTTTTTTGGCAATCAACCAACTAGACTCACTTTAAGTCGAGTTTTTTTTTTCAATTTTCCTATAATAATTAGTAGTTAAATACCATATTAGAGAGATGATCCTTGATTGAGGTTAGGTGGGTCAATTATTAATAAAACTTAACTCAAAAGCGGGCCCGGATGATTTATTGCAATAAAAAATTCTTTAAAGATGGTTTATGTATAAGTTGACAATCAAAGGTGATTTGTGTTGAATGATCCTGTTTTAAAAGTGGCTTCTAATGGAAAACCCTTAGTTTTAGTACAATATAACTAAAGATGAAACACGAGTTGGAAGTTTTAAATTTTTTTATTTATAGACATTGACGATATGTAGATTGTAATTAATGGAATGAGTATTTCATTAGAATAATCTAACTCATGCATTAAGAGATAACTGTAGTTCTAGTATTGGAAAACTGTTAAAGCCTGCAACCGCTTGATGAACAGGCACTATATGCTCAATATCCATGGTTTTTTATCTGTAGACCTTCTTAGGCATGTAGATTAAATTGAATAGAGTTAGATTGTTCAATCCGTTGCATAATACACGTTTTTTTTCTTTTGCGTGGGCATAACTAACTTGTGCCCTCCGAGTGCTACAGTATAAAAGTTAGAAACGCGCGTGCACACACACACGCTGCTGTTATAAATGGCTATATTTTGTCCCTTCGTAGCAATTTGTTCCAGTAACGTGTGAAATACGAAATGGCATAGGCAACCCTAGCTAATTATTGATCCTTCTGGAAAATGTTGTCGAGCTTCTTGCATCTATGATGTACTATGCATGAAAAATTGTCTATACTAGTATCTAGGAGGTTACTGTCTTACTGAGTATTTCGGGTTCACTAATCATAGTGTATTTTGCAGCTGTTATTTGGTAAGTTCCAGGCTGATGAACAGGCGTGGGTAGAGACGATTAAGTCTGTGGAATTTGGCGGGACTGTGAGAATTAGTACCATGGATTGGCTTGGTCAATCAGAATATGCAAAGCAGACAATATACTGGTCCTCCCTGTCCTCTGCAATTTCTGAGGTAATTAGAAAAAATAGTTACTTTTTTTCTTTTTCAACTGGCATACAGTATATCTTGTGATGCTGCTGCACAGCAAGAAAGCTTATATTTTAGGGTAATTGCAGATAGATCCCCTGGGCTATCAGCCAAATAGACCCCAAGTACTTGTTTTGTCGCAAACAATATCCTGACTGGAAAGTAAAAACAATTCACTCAGGGGTCTATCCTCAACTGGGTGATAGTATGAGGGGTCTAGCAGCAACAATAGAACGAGAAGGGGTTGACTATTTTACGTCATGTTTACTTTTCGTTTGGACTAAACATCCATTTCTTCAGAACAAATTCTCATCTTTGAACATCTAAAACAGGTCGTCTTCTCCAAGAACACAAATGTGAAAATACTAGTAGCCCATTGGTCACATTTCATCGAGAATACCGATCAATATCTGAAATCTCTCCTCTACTCCAACATCCTATGCACATCCTCAAAATACAATAGCTGCAAGGGTAAAGTTGAGATCAAGTATTACGAAGTTCCTGGGTATGGAAAAACTGGACCAGCAATAAGCAAAGGATCGCCAACTGGAAATATATACCCAGGCTTCACACGGGTGAACCACGGGAAATATGCAGTTACTGATGCGCGTGCACATATTGGAACTAGTAACCTCATATGGGACTATTTTTACACTACTGCAGGTGTTAGCTTCGGCACTTATAACACTGCGATAGTAAAGCAACTACAAGAGATTTTTGATGCAGATTGGAATTCTCCATACGCTATCCCAGTTGCGCCGCTATCAGCTGCATAAAGTTTTTTGATAGCGTGGAGAGGATTTGTGCATTCGGGCAATTATCTATAAATTGGTTCATAGTTGGAAATGTGGTTATTGAACAGTCAAGGTAATGAGAGTAGATGTTTTAGTGGGGTGGTATACTTCTTTGCAAAGCCTACCCTTGCTATTTCAAAAACGTGAGGATTGTATTTATTTCAGATGCTACCATCAAAATAACAAGTACCAAGCTGTGCATTAATTTTCACTTCACAATTCAGAAATTGTATCCAGCATGAATATTGTCTGATTAAGCTGTGAATGATTTTCTTGTTAGTGTTACTTTTGAAATATGAGCACCTTAGAATCTGATGTTCTACAGTTGGAGTTACTTTTGCAAATGTTAGGATAGTAAG